ACGGATACCTGTAATAACTGGCGAATCGAGCGTCAGTTCTTGAGTACGTTTTGCTGAAGCTAGACTCTCTGGGTGGCCACACAAGCGGTTTCTACGTCGCGAAGTTTCCTGTGGTCGTCCGGTTGGAACAGAGCTCGTGCTCCGAACATATTCCGCAAATGACCAACGACAGGAAAAGCAAACATATTGACTGAATGACTGATAGGCCTCTCGATCATTTAATACAAAGTTAACTCTCTCAGAGTTGATTGGTACATATGGTAACTACCGGTAACATTGATAACCAACGTAGCCACTAGTTCCAAACAATCTGAATTTTATACTTTTAAATTGAAAACTTAATTTCTGAAAAAATTAAAAGATTAAATTACTGTCGCTAATAATGTTAGCCATTTATGATACTCAAACATTGTAAATAAAAAAGGAACCAATATAAAATAAATATAATATTTAAAATTTGAAAATTATTCGGTAACTCTTTTAGCTCTTAATTTATAAAATTCAATAGAAATTTTTTATTTTTGTCAAGAATTTTACTTTATAAAACATTAATATAGCGACATTTCCTTTAATGAATTTATTATTAGAAATATGACAGTGTATAATATGTATTATATTTCATTATTATTTATACATTATAATTTATTCGAATGATGCAATGAACATTTACAAAACTATTGGTAAACAAAATTAAATTCAATACAACTTTGTAAAAAATTAAAATATTTTTTATCGAATGAAATATATTTTTAGAAAAATTTATTCTTTAGTATGAAAAGTTGAAAATAGTTTTTGCAATTCTTTGCCGTTGCTTTTTACGACTTCTTGCCATGGATTCAGGGGAGTATGGACGAACAGGAATGCGGTATATTAAACAACGCATTCTCGTGAAATTCTTTATTCGACACGGCGAATAACTGAGGACTACGTAGAAACACGCTTCCGGCATGCGAGAAATGAAATTGTTAAACACAATTATTGGAAGAAATCTGAAAAGAGGAAATAGGTTTACCAACTTTACGGTGCTCTGAGACGATCTCGTCGTCAGTGAAACTAGTTTCCTCCATGGAAAACGAAGAGATCGCGATTAAGATAATTTTTCGTAGAAACTTGCATGAATGCGAAGAATTTTTTAAACGATGCAGCCTTATTAAAATTTTAATTTTCAAAGATTCACGATTTCCAAGCCAAAAGGAAATAATTATCATAATTGTTCTTTTTATTTTATGTACAGTTGCAACGATTTGGAGACTAATGAATTTTAAGATTTTATAGGAATCTTATTCGCATGTATTTCATATGCAAATGATAAGAAAATTTCAGGCAAGAGAACTTCCAGTTGTTATCATTCCATCGAGTTACATTGTGCTCCTTTCGTAAACGCCACAATGAATATTCCCGAAAATATTTGCCTTTAGATAATGAGACTGGTGTCATGTTAAACCAATATCTGCATGGGCGTATGTAAAGTGCTGCTTGAACTGAATATTAAAGAATGGTTGATCCTCTATTTAGACATAACAAATTAAATTTCAATTAAAATTGAATATTAAGAGACGATTATTTTTAAAGCTTATCAATTGCAAGATAATCTCTCACGAAGACGTTAACGTTAAACAATAATGGAAATCAAAATTTTATTTTATTTTATAATTGTATTAATCAATATAGTTATGTTAGTAGCTATTAAAGCAACAATAAAATAATTGCACAGAAAAATAAAATTTAGTGACCACATTACAAAATATCCAATAATAAATTCAGACACAAAATCTAATATCAACAGTTAACAAAAAATAACAAATGTTAATTATCCGTTTAACAATAATCAAACACATCAATTACTTCAAAACAGCTGCAGCAATTATAAATCCATACAGTAAATAAATTTCCCATAAATAAATACATAAATCTTAATTACAAGCAACCAGTCTTTAAAATGATATACAACTACATAATCACCTAATTAATATGTTAATATCAAAGAGAAAGTGAGTATCCGCAAATTGAACATTTTCAGGCGCAAAGGTCCAAGTAAACTGTAAGCCCACGGAACGGAAAATAAGACAGCATGCCCGACAGGGAAACCCAAGGACAGAAGGTGTCCGGGATGCAAGCGGGGCTGTACCGGCTTCTCAGAAAAACTAAAGAAAAGGGCCCTGGGGCTGCCGAAAGCTCGCAGGGCTCCCCACCCTATTTCGGCCGGCTGGAAAGGCGATAGCCTCGTGGTTCACGTGCCACGCACATTTTACCTGGCACTCGAGACGGAAAGATCTCGAGGGACGATCTCGGTGTCGCAAGTCTGCTCGAGATCGTCGGTCTCCCTCGTCTACATTCGGGGGATTTTTTTAGCCGAACGAAAGGTTCGTGTCAGAGAAAACAAGGAGGGGTGTGTATTCCTTAGCAGGAAGTCGATCCTTCGTCAATCTACACTTCGGAGCCGTTCCTCCTCTGTCTTTCTTTCGCCGTTCCCCGCCCCCTCTACCGTCGCACTGTGCTCTCACCTTCGAAAACACGTCTCCGGACCACCCGCGTGTGTGAAAGTTTACAGCTAGCTGCACGGGAGAACTTAGAGGCGTTCACGGAAAAGGGTACTTCGAACCGTACACGTATAGGAAACTTCGGTGTTCAACGCATTAAGTGAAAGCATTCTCGGTTAAAGTTTTCCGAACCCCGCTTTCTAGTTCGAGATAACAACGATGAACACAAAAGCTCTACGTTATCGCCGTGGAAACCGGGGACAATAACGACTGTACAAGTTGTTCCAGATAAGTTGGAGATTGTGATCACCGCGTTCACTCACATTTTTTACTTGCTAAACTCGTGTAACTCTTGCGAATCATTCTCGCAATGTTGTACGAGAAATAGTTTTTGACATTGCAGTTGAATTGGTTTCTAATAACTTGTACATCTTTCGGAACTTTGAAAACTGGCGAATCGAAATATATCGGGAAATAGTACAGCTAAGTATTATGTATTTGTGTATAAATTTATCGTCTTCTTTCACTGGTTTTTAAATATAGAAACTATTCCTTAAACTTTGTTATTCTGTTCAACTTCGTATTTCAATCATTTTGAGAAGAGGGATGACGTTTTAAATGGAAATGCCACTAATAATAACTCAATTATATTTAAAGATGGAGACCATAAAACAAAGTTCAGATTGCAATCCTGAGTTACAATGTTCGACGTATTCCTTTATTTACGAAGCAGAATGAATTCAACGATAGTAATTTTCGTGTTTACCGTGGTGATCAGTAGAAAGTAACGAGCGCAATTACGACGAGCCAGCGTAATTTGTCGACGAAAGGAGGACTCATGAAATGGCGTGCGATCGAGCTATTATCTACGTCTAGTTAGCGTAACTGTCCAACAGGCTCGCGGAGACAGCAATGCCCGTATAACCCGCAGAGAGCGTGTACTTCATCGATTAGATGGTCAGCGATAGGAAAACCACGGGAGACTTGAACGCCAGCATAGGAAATGTCGGGCCTATCCGTGAGACGTACTACTCTCCCTCTCCATTTTTCTTTCGTGATGAAAATTACGGGTGTGCTGGCAACGCGCGCGTATCCCTCGTTTATCCCATGATTCCATTTGATTCTGTCATGACCGAAGGCAATCTTTGTTTGTTTTTCAAAACTGTTTGTGAATCCGTGTACGTTTCTCGGAATGCGCAGAAATAGAGAATTTCTACGGTACATATACTTATCATTTTCTATACGTTGATTAAATTGTGGATTGTATTCGATACAAATAACACACAAAACAAGCAATATAACTATTTGATTTCAATATGTCATGTTTAGTGGCGGTACATATAAACCTTAATATCGAATATCGAATTTTATAATTTTACAATATCAAACTGAATAGCCACTGTTAATCGCCTTCTGAGTGTAAGGGATTGACAGATTGTACACAGGCCATTTTACTCATTTCAACTTATGTCAATTACATTTATCTCATTTATTTATTAAACATGCTTTTCTTCTTTTTCAGCTTCTATTGCAAATTGATATATCTTTGGTCATACGTGTAAGGATTTGAACTTTCGTTTTTAATATAAAATGTTATTGAAATACGAATATTTATTTACTATTACAATGGTACACGAAAAACGTACTATTATGTTATCTGCGTACAATTAATTAATTATTATACGATGAAGGTTTGAACATTTATGTTTTAGCATTCAAATATAAATATGTGTTATATATAGAGAGAAAATGACAATAAATAAACATTTCATTTCTCTTATAAATGATTTCCGACGATTTTTAAATTAAATGTTTTCGGTAATGTAAAAATGAGGCAGAACTGTGTACAATCTGTAAAGCTTTAATACACTTTGAAGTGATAATTGAGTCCTGTGAGCTACCAATTATATTCGACGACATGAGTTATGTTCACGTGTGATCGAAATAATGGGAACAGTGAGAGTTCTTGAAAAATGAGATGCAATTTAAGTAAATACGGATAAAGTATTTATGTTAATAATCTTGTGAATCAGTTTGAATATCGGTGATTAGTCTCGATAAATAATATTACGAAGAATGTATAATATTATGTATACGTATAATATTCATAAAAGTATGCACAACTTAATGACTTTGACTTATTAAAATAATCAGGTAAACTCACAGTTTATATGTACTTGTGAAAATTAATGTTAATATCGCCATGTATAATATTTGAACCGTGAGTAAACAAATATATCCTTGCTGCATTATTAAAACTTATATCACACTTAATTTTAATAAACATACACAGAAGGCTGACCTTAAGATAATCAAATCTTCATTGATAACATAAATGCTAATAGATTCTAATAAAATATTAAACAGAAATTAATTCGCTAGCAATTTATAAATTAACTGATGATACTTAAAATTTGTAATCTTTATACGTGTAATAAATCCTCCCAATTCATTAGATTACAATATAGGTACGTAGGCAACTACAATTTAAAACAACGCACACACAGAGAAGTAACTCACCTTCTCAAGTTGATCCAACGCTATCGCAGCATCCGTCCAACTCGGCCTAATGTAAAGGTCCGATTCGTGTCGTTGTTTCGCGTCCTCAATACCGATTTTAATGTGCTTATCATTGTGAACTTTCGACGTACACCCATTCTGCGACGACTGTAAATTTTGATGGCACTGAGAAGAACCAGAAGGGCGTCCCGCTAGGATCCCTGTGGGGCCGGACGCAGAAACCATGATCCGTCATGCATTCGCTTCGACACAATTCGCAGTATGATTGTTTTGTAATATTACTCTCCGTACGGAGACGTTTCGCTTAACTCGTAATCTTTCCCCGGAACTTTTCCCTTGGCCTAGGTCCTGGCTTCCGTTCGTAACGCGTTACGAACCCGCCGACACGTTACGTCGCAAATGAAACATGAGACACGAAAAAACACGCGAAGAAAAAAAAAACGATTTCACACTTCACTGTTACTACGCTTTACACGTAATACTAGCACGAACTTCTTGTTAAAACACATCTCACAGCACACGTTCGATCAGCCTTCTCGATTTGCCGCGCCTTATCTCGAACGTCGTATATAAATGCGACAAGCACAGCAATCGAAATTCGCGCACGAGGTACACACAACTTGTTCTGCGCATGCGCGGCTGTATTGTGCCCATCGATGATATATACACAGCAAAACAGAGACCGGGAATAGGCTTTTAGGTTAGCTTCGTACCACCGTGGAAGAGTAAATACGCAACCGCTCTCTCCGGTTTCCCATTCGTATTTTGCTTCCGTCTTCTTTCCCTATCCTTCTATTTCCCTCGGTTTTGCTCGACACCAAGCTTCTCCGTACACCGTTTTCTCTCTCTATCTCGCTCCTTCTATTCCGGTATCTCCCTCTCGTGGGATACCGCCGACAAACACGAGGGCGCACACGCGAGTTCGCTTGTTTTGAAATATCATGCGACAACCGAGTCCAACGTGTTCACGTATCGACTCAGTCGTTTCCGCGGGAAATTCGTTGCACTCTCGTAGACGCGTGCGCTTCTCTTTTATGTCATCGAAGAGGCGAAAACGTCGACCGGTGGTAGCTGGAAGGTGTCAAAACACGTCGGTCGGAGTTGCGTTTCGCCTAACGTGATGTCGCAGCCACGCGCACTTCAGTGTCACTGTCACGATCGTTGTCACTTGACCCGGTCGTAGATCCCAGGCGAAAATTCACACCACGTTCGGACGACGTTTGCCACGACCACCGAATTCGTATAAGCGCGCCTGTGACGAGCATCCGGTTTACGCAAGAAGGCGTAGGCGACGTTAGAGGACGAGAGTGTTCCACGGTCCAGTAAGGGCAGCTGGAAACTTTTGTTTCAGGGTCTGAGAATTTCTCTGTCACGCGTCTCGAACCGACGTCCTCGTCGTCGTCGTCGTCGTTGTCCTCGTCTTCGGACACCGGCGTGCACGACCGCCACTTAGAGCAGTCTAAGTCCGTACTAAGCGAAATGCGCTGCCACATTTCTTTCGTGGCCTGCCTTCTGCGCCGGCCATAGTTGACGGCCCCCCTCCAACGCCGCCGCTCGCCGAGATCGGAGCTGCACAAACATTCAGGGCCGTATTTCTTCGACCGTTCTCGAATGAACTCGATTCGGATGAAACGTTCTGCGCCGTTTCAGTTTCTTTAACTGAAATTGAGGAAAATGACACTGCAAATATTACTAATTTTCCTTTGAAATCTCCTTGAAGTAGATGTAATTAATGTAAATGATTTATTTATGTATAAATATGTGTTAGAGGCATTGTTGATCTACAAGGCGACTAACAGAGTGTCATACTAATTTCTGCTAAATAATTGCATTTACCAAACGTGTTTTTCTTTAATACGCAAAGTCTGATGAAGTTTTCTAATTTCGTGTTACATTCGCAGTGTATATGAGTTTTTGTATATTCTGAATATACAAAAATGTTTAAAATTTAGAGTTGACGTTTATACTCGTGCCAGATATTACAATCCCTGAATATATGACAATGTTTAAACATTATTACAGCGATTTTCTTCGTAATGACAATACTATAAACCACTATTTTCGCGGCACAACGACACGTCCCTGCGGGTACCGATGACATCGAAGCCGAAATAAGCCGAGTTTAACCGAAGCGATCGAAACTCTTTCGTGATTGGCCGAATCGGCGTGGCGTTCTACGTTGCTAGGATACGGCGATGTGCCATCACAGGGGGGCAGGGGGCACGACGCAAGACCACACACGCGGTACCATTTCCCCTCGAGCAAAAACATTACCCACACACGACAGAGGCTACGTGACACATACGAGGCACACAAGAACGTTTACAGATCGCCGCATCATCTCTTTCTCTCTTTCTCCTGTTCTCTCTTGATTTCTTTACTCTCTCTTCGTCATTGACTCCGAGCCGTCTTGAGAAATTTTGTATACGCTCCGTACGTTCTATAATAGTATAGAAATGGTCCCAACCAGAGCGGGCTGAAATTTGAAGAAAAAAATACTTCAAACACTGTTTAAAATTCTAAATACCATGCAGCTTGCGGCAAATATAATATCCATATTTCAATAAGGCGAAGGATAAAATAAAACATATCTTATATTTTGAACACCCATCGAAAATATGTTTAACAACAAAGATAAATTAAAGAACAAATGTAATAGTAATGCAAAATACCTTTCCATTCGACAAAGAAAATTTAAATAGGATGCTACATTGAACTATTATTTTGACAGTGTGAAAAATAAGATTTATCATTATGTAAGGTACAAGTACAATTCAAAATTCCAATAAAATAAATCACTCACAATTCGCTGTTTCAAATAACATTTCACCCCGCGTTAATCCCGGCGATCTAACGCACGTTGGGCTGAGGTTGACACGCGGTGGCGAGTAGAAGACGATCAGAGGTCTGCCACCGATGCACCGAACGTAAACACGGCTCCCTTACGGGCCTCCGAAGATCGAAATTGCTACTGCTCAGGGCAATAATAATCGTGACCGGAAATACCGGAATTTACACCGGCGGTGACCATCATCGTCGCCGCGCCTTCACGTAAATTTGCATAATTGATTAAATGCGTCTCCTCCGCCACGGTCATGATTCGATTGGAGCGACCACAGGTACGCGCAGCGTTCAAGCGTGTTCGCCCCCGGTCCGTTTGGGAATCGCGCGATTACGATAATTTTACGCGCAATCCGATTTAATTAGGTGTATTTTAATCACCGGGTACAGGCAGAAAAATAATAGACGAGCAGGAGTCTGGCAAACGAAAACGGTACGGTACCTTGTCCATAGGAGAGAAAGGGGCGACTGTTTTGAATGCGTTCATTAAGCCACGGGGAAGAGCGTTACACTGGACAATTAACTTATTAACCTGTCTTCATAATATCTGCATAACGATGCGACTTCATTAGGCGTCGTACACCACTTCCGTACGGTGATCCGCGTGTGCGTGAGCGTGTGCGAACGAGCGCGCGCGTATGCAAGTTGCTGAGTTAGCTTATTGGCTAGCCTCTCTCACACGCACTTGATATTTGTGAGCACGTGTATGACGTGCAGCTGGGGGAACAGCGCGGAAAGAAAGATAGAGTTAACGAGGGAGGACGATAGCGTGACGGAGACGGAGCAAGCCGGGAACAGAGAAAATTAAATAAGATGGAGTAGGAGGGAGTGAGACAAAGTGGCAGATCGAAGGAGGTAATGTGTAAATACGCGACCACCTACGGTGATACCCAGTCCGACACCCTGTTTCTACCGAACACGAGACAATCCTCGCCGGTCCCATCGCGCGGAGCGAAACATGCGTGTCTTTATTCCGTTCGCCGATCCGTAGCGTTCCCCGCGAGCCAGGCTTCCTCGTCGGACCAGGACCAGAGGTAGCAAACGTATTTTAAGTAAGCATTACCAACAAAATGACGCGACTATAAAAACACAGAATTGTTCCCGAAATTGCAACCGCTGATATTCCCCTCTATCCGAGGATCGCGTAAAGGGGGTCCGACATTCATTGTTTGCGTAACTTAATATCCGAGCACCGTGGCGGGCGGCTGCGTCTCCCGGTGAAATAAAATGGGTGGCCAACCAGTTTCCGTATGTTTCGAAACGCGCGCGCGCCCCGACCGCGCAACGGGCCCGCGTGAACGAAATTCAACCGGGTGTCCCGGTTGTGTTTCGTTTTGCGGCAGTAACAGCTGCGAATTAAAATACCGTGAAACATAAAAATGTACCGCTACCCGCTTCTTTTTTTCACTGTTCCGAATTTATATTCCGGGACACGGCTGGCGCACGGTTATTTCTCCGTGTTCCATGAGATTCGCTCGCGACGATATCCGCGATGACCCGATCCCGGCGGAGAAGGAAACGTCACAATACGGCGTTTACGAGACACCGGGACCCTGGGCCTGAAGAGGAAATGTCATTGCATATTGTGGTGGCAGGTTCGACGAATGCACCCAACTGTAGTTGCCGATCCGGCGATAAGGCACAGCGTGCGGAGGGACCGTTAATAATTTTTACGACACTCTTAGCTCGCCACCCAGTATTAAGCGGTCCTCCGTAGAAGACGGGCTTTGATCTTCGCCGACCGCTGCATCGGCTTAATGAGTGCGAGAGGGAGACAGCCGGCGAGCGCGGTTGAAACGGAGCGTGCGGCCTGACCACGAGAGTCCCCTGTGGATCTATTTTCCACAATATGCATCTCTGTAGCTCGGGTTGCATCGCACCAGGCAACGCCGCGCCGCTCACCAGAACCAGCTTCTCAATGAAGCTGCAGTCAGGATCGGAATTAATTAACCGTTCCCGGCCACTCGGCCGATTTGAGATTCCTATCGTACATTTATCTCTATACAAATTTGGCTTATCTGTTCCCGGAAGTAGTGGGTGATAATCCCATGATGATCCGGCTAACCGGTTTCGTTCAATCACACAACCGATAAATTATAATTGAAAACGTTCGTTTCTGGATGGTCTGTGAATGTAAAACTGGAAATAAGCGTTTGATCTGAACGGAGTGACTTTAACCCGTTGGCTGCGGTAGATTTTGATACGCACCACACGTAGTACACGGCAGAAGGTCAATTACGACCTACACTGAGAACGGCGGAATTTTGCGTCAGCATGTATTTCTAAGAAAGTATATTGAAATCAAAACACCGAATGGAACTAAATTAAACCAATATAAAACAATCAGATTTATATGTATGACTAATGGAAGATGTAATTATTGGATTAGAATTCAGTTACGTCTAATCGAAGCAAGTTTTTCTGCAATTATTGTCAATAACACTTTACCGGCGCCTATAGGCGCTTTCAGTTCATTTTAAGCAGCATGAAGTTAGTTCCTATAGATGTCAACAGTAGCCAAAGGGTTAATTCATCGCGGCAATCGTCTGTTCTGTTTCTCTATCGAGTTTCCGGATTTTTATTGAATATCTTTTGTAATTTATAACTTCGTGTCTGTATTATGCGAAGTTTGAATTCAATTTCGTGATGATTTTTTTTTAAAAAGAGTATACGAAAGCAAGCTTAAAGAGTGCAAATGACCAATATGATATTGGTAATATTACAGAATTGAAAATGTATCGACGATACAAGAATAAATGTTATCTAGCATACTAAAAATCAATTCGAATGGTTGCGAAAATGCGTAAAAAACCCTGGTCACGTTCAAAAAGTGTAGCAAGGAGTTGATATGCGAGGGACCTGGAGAACAATAAGACAGAAGGTATAAGTAAAGGCACGAGGGGGAAAGAAAAAAGGAAGCTATGGATTATAGTTTCTGGTGAGGAAAGAGGAAAGGTAACGAGACGGAAGGACAAAGGGAAGAAAGAAGAAAATTGAAGGTCCGCGGAGGGGCGAGGGATCTGATGAGAAGGAGAGAATGGAGAATGGGCGTAGGGGAAGGAGGGAAGTCGACTACTTCCTTACGCAAGACGACTCGGTGCGCCACGTTCGTTCACTGCGTTCGGCCGCGTTCAACGGTGCGTGCACATGAGAGACGCAAGAGATGCTATCAGCCACCAAGACGGCTCTAGACTTCTTCAGACCACCCACCGGCAAAATAATAAACACGGAATGCGGCATACACGTCCATCCGTTCATCCGTTCGTTTGTTTCTATTTCGCAGATACCATCAAAAATAAGGTCCCCCGTCGATACCCGCAGCTGGCTATCACCGATTATTACCCTTCCAGTTGCTATCGTACACGAACAACTGGACGAATTCAACGCGAAGCGCTATTAACTTAAGATACGCAATCGAATGGCGTTTAATGGTCGATATATATTAGACGAGTAGGCGGAACATAGCGAAACTTCTCTTCTCGGTAGTTCTTTGTATTATCACGTAAGCGCTAGGACTTTTGTTCACGACGGTTGTAAAACGACATAGTCGTACAATATTTCATCGTCGTAGACCAGTCGGGATTGTACACCGAAAAGATTTCTCTTCGTTCCCTCCTTACGTTAGTGATGGTGTGCGTATTGGCTGTCGAAACTGTGGTTTCAGTAAAATAAATTAAAAAATACAATTACATTTATATC